ATAACATATCCATTTCCATTTCCTCTTTGCATGGGACACAACTCACAGGTGATGATGTTGGTGTAAGACAGAAGCAATAACACAGAAGGACCTGGAGCCTGGATGATGCTGTGGGACAAAGCCACCCTATCCTGCACTGCAAGCTTAAGTCTGAGCACTCTGTTAGTGAGAATTAACTTTCACTCCTGTTTACATCATTGTATTTAGGGGTTTCTTTGTTTGTTTTGTTTTTTGGTACTGGGGATCGAACTTGGACCTTGTGCTTGCTAAATCTCCACTGCACTAGATCTCTGGCCCTAGGGGTTTCTTTGTTACAAGGAGCTTGATGAACAAGGTACTTACTAATTTATACAACTTATATACCATGTATCTACCTTATTCTGATGAGATTCTTTTTGTTTTGTTCAAATAAACATTCTTAGCATCAGCCACATGGCTATGGTAGGAAATGTTTAGAAAGTGGGAGAGGGAGAGTAGTGAAGTTGCCCACCTGCCATACAAACTGCCTGGTTTCCTCCCCTTTCTCTCATCATGCTTTAGCACATGACTCTCACTCATTTAAAATTTCCTATTTTTTTTTCTCCATTTAGCAAATTGCCAAACATTCCTTTAAAATCCACTCAATTTCTAAAAGATTATCCCCAGGGTGGCCCATGGACAGTGATAACATCTCTTGCCACCCGCTTGGTTTCAGAGTTTCCACCACCCATGTTATCACACTCTGTCCTGTACTGTGCCTGACACTGTTAGCACTCAAGATATCTTTGAAGACACAAATCTGTGAATACTATCCTGTAACCATGCCACCCAAAGTTAATCATTCTCTAGTTACATCATCAAATGTCAGGTTGCATGTGGGGAAAAGGTTCACAAGTCATATAATGTTGAGTTTAAGGTTCTGTTTTCCAGTATCTACTGGAATCATCTGGGCCAATCACATTACTCTTTCTCCTTAGCAAGGTTCCTCCATGGTACAATGGAAATGCCACCAGCTGATACCTAATATATATGCTTACTGTGAAGACTGAATGGACATGAACCCAAAATCCTGATCTAAGAATTAACACACTGTTGGTGTTAGTGTTTCCCCACTACAAGAACTCTAATGTAGCAGGCGCAAGGTCCATAGTTAGATCCAAAAAGAAAAAAGAATGCTAATGTAATTGTAACCTAAGTATACCATTTATCTCAGATTTACAAACAGATACATAAAAATCAGGCTTATATATAATAATAAACTGTTTCATAAAAAAAATCAGTCGGGGATAAGATTCAAGACTCAGTTTCATCTCTCTCCTGTTTTGTGACATTAGGCACCCTCTCTAGTCACATCTGTCCTAGTAGCAAAACAAGGACTCAGATGGAACTGATCCACAGTGACTCCTGAAGGAATCTGCACCCAGGGGCATGGAAGGAGAATTGAAGGATGACTTTGGTGAGTGCCCTGCAGGGGAAGGGACTGAGGCCAGCACTCTGCAAGTGTGGCAGGGGGCTGTTCCTGGAGCAGGGTGAGGAGTTAGGAGGCCCTATCACTGTTTTGCATGCCTGGAATGGAGCCTCTGAGAAGGAAAGTTCCATATTTTTTAAAGGACAGGAAAACAAAAGAGGACAAAGAGCAGTTTCAGTTTCAGTATTTAACAAACTAAGACAGGATGAAATGGCCTAAGGGGACATAACACACTGAAGCAGGAAACATTTAGCTGTACTGCAGCCCGAGAAAGGGCAAATGGCTGAGGCCAGCAAGGCAGAAGGAAGAAGAGGTGGGAAGCAGGGTTCCCCAGGTTCCCAGCTGCAGCCTCTGAGGCACCCCTTTGTCCCCTGTCCCTGAGGCCTGGATGGGCGTGAGGACGCGGCCAGCCTCTCCTCACTCTTACCTGCTTAAGCGCCAGATGAGTCTTTTCAAGATCCAGGTGGAAGAAGTTTCCCAGGAAAGGCAGGCGCCAGGGCCCGGGAGGGTAGTTCTTTGGGCGCCTTCTTTTGAGGAAGTCTGCAAAGAACAGGAAGGCAACAGCGGCCAGGAGAAGAGTGCGGAGGTGGAGCACATCCCAGAGGGAGGCCGCCAGGGATCCCACTGCCGCCAGCATGTAGAGGACCTGCTCTGGGGCTTCTGAGAACCGCACAGTGAACTGTCCTCGCAGGTCACCACCGCAGTGCCCCAGGATGGCCTGTCTGCTTGGCCCTCCTTCTGCTGTTGCTTCCTGCCCCGCCCCCAGAGCAGAA